AAGAAGAGCTAAAAAAGGAAAGGAATAGAAAATAGGAGATAAAATTTTTGGGGTTTCTAAAACGATAAACCTTTAGAATAAGGCTTTTAAACACAAGCCACATGGGAAAATGACAAAATTACGCCTCAAATCCTTTATTTTTTTTCTTTTTGAATTTTTTCTGAATTTAATTAAAAAAATCAATTTAATCCCTAAATTTAACTAATAAAGAAAAATTAGTCTCTAAATTGAGGTGTGACATATGGAAGGGAGGACAAAGTGGGGGTTTTATTTTTAAATTTTTTTTAAAAAAATATTATTTTTATTATTAAAAAACTAAAAATTTTAAAAATATAATGGTAGACATCTAAAAGTTTAACGGAGAAAACGCTAGGCACATATTGTTAGTAAAAAATTCTTTAGGCACTATATCGTATTTTGAAGTATATTCTAAGCACTAAAATGTGTATTAAACCATTTAAAAAATTGACCTTAAGTACTTTTTATATTGAAATTTTTAGCCATAAGTACTTGAAATATTTTTAACTTGTTTAGTACAATAAATTACTCCATCCGTCCCGCAAAAAATGTCCTTTATTGACTTTTTAATAGTTAAAATTTTTAAACTTTGATCATGATTATTTTAAATATTTTAAACAATTAAATTTTATAAAATACATATTTAAAAATATAATTTTATCAAAAATAAATTTTAAATAATAATTAGTCAAAATTTAAACAAATTGACAAAAAAATCAATAATAGACATAATTTATGAGACAAAGAGTAAAAGTTATTACATATATAATATAATTTTTTTTATCTATTTATAGAGAGAGAACCTTTCTCTATTGTGGTTACTATATTTTTCTTTCTTTTTCCATAAAAAGGTTACTTGGTGGTTTTGTTCGGCCATTTCTTTGTTTTTTCAGTTTTTTATTTTATTTTTTAGTCTATTATTGTTCGATTTTATTATTTTAATTGTAATTTAATATATTTATAATAATTTTTTCTCTTGATCTTTTTCTTGGTAAAATATACCATGGCTATTAGTGTCTTCGTGCTTCCGCTACAGGTTTCTTCAATTGGTATTCTTCTTAATTTGTGGTTTCACGAGCTTTCTTAGTTTTTTACTTTCTTGATTCTTGGTTTATTCTTTCTTTTGTATATAATATTTTATTCATTTTCTAACATATGTGTCATTAGTGTTTGTTGGACATGTACTGATTTTTTTCTTTCGCCATGAGTTTATTGTGCAAACTGGATACACCATGTGTTAGAATTAAATCATATTAAATATGAGATAATCAGGATCTAATTTTGTCAAACTATCAAGAATAAAATAAATACTAGATGCGGAAGCATACTTGAATCAATTGATAAGTTGAAATCATTGAATCTTTCTTTGATCGTGAATTTCCAAGAATATAGGTTTGCTCTTGCCGTAAAAACTCTCTGAAGGGGATAAAAGTAATACAAGTTAACCTATTTCTTGGGGACCACTATCTCTTTATATAGATTGAATATCATGTCAATCTTTTAAGTATTCATAATTCTACCCATCATCAAATTATAAATACAACTTATGGTATCTACACTATGATTCCATGACAATTTAATACATATAACACATATAACATAATTGATCACTTAATTTTGTGTCATACTTTATGATAACATTGTACATTATACATATGTGCGCACAAATATAGATTTTACTCCAACAATCTCTCACTAGGGAAACATATGTTTCCTGACAAATGTACAACCTTAAGAGCTCAAAATTTGTTATCATATAATATGTATTCTATGACAATCTCGTCCATCAACTATATCTATATAGAATCAAAGAGGCATTTTTCCATATCAATCATGATTAGACCCATCAATGATCAATTTTACAAATACAATCAAATGACATGAATCAATCATGGAGTGTAGCATGGAAATTACATATAATGTGAACCACACATGTTCATTTCCAACTGGTCCTCTTTAAACATTAGTGAGATCAAATTTTTCCAAAACCAGAGTACAAATAAATCAAAATAAACTTTATTTCCGCAGAAAATAATCTTAAAATAAATATCCTTAAACCGAAGTAACTGAAATTGTGTTTATAACAAACGAGCATTAAATACAAACTCCCACTAAAACCGAATATACTTAAATGATATTACACCCACATGAGTAGTGTGCTCATGAAAGACCTTGGGTGACAATTCCTTTGTAAGCGCGTAATTTTGAGTTTGTGCCAATATGCTCTATAAATACATAACAACTCTGAATTTTCTTTAACAACTAGAAACATAATGTCTAAGTGCTTAGACTTTTAAGGTTTTTGTTATATATATGAAATAAAGGACTGCAACTTAGTTGTCACAAAATTAACTCAAGTTGTCTTTCTTGTCAATCCATAATTAGCAGTTCATGTGACAAAATTTTGCATCCATATTTCAATAAATCATAGTCCATAAACCTGATGATCTCTTACTTACTAGATCTCCGATATGTGAGAATATAACATTTTTGTTATTAAATGTATTGTATGAATCAATTTGGCTACTATCCAACAATCCATACCCAAATTGCTTAAATACCTGCTTAATATCCTACAATCATACTCTATATCCGAATGTTTATAAACTTGATTCTACACTAAATTCTTTATTTATTTTGAAGCATAAAGAACCTTTTTGAATTTCCTTAGTTTCAAAATCATCCTCAAAGCACTAATCAAGATTAAACTTGTTTCTTTTAGCAATAAGGGTATTATTTGTTTTACCCCACTGAACTTATAATATATACAATTATCAACCAAATTTGTCTTAAAACCAAATGAGACTTCAAGGTATTTTTTTGGGTATTGATACTCTAAACTTATTATAGATACCAATAAGTGAGTATCGATATTTCAGTGCATGTACTCCTTGTTTGAGTATCCATACTATTCGTTTGAGTATCTATACTCCTTAAATCTATATCCATACTCTCCAACGTCGAAAGATTTAAAAATCTCTCATTACACCCCGAATATCTATTAATTACTATGAAAGTATAAACAAGCTTCGGAAAGAATACCCTTAAACCCTTAAATGGAGTAAATAACCAAATTATTCTTGATAGGTAAGAATCTTTAAAAGTGCCCTTAAATGTACTCGTATTAAAAAAAAGTGATAAATTAATAATGTGTAAGCCATTTATCAAGTCAAATGGAAAATTGAAAGAAGAGTGAGATTGAATTTGAGTAGTACTGATTTATTAAAGAATAACCATCTTCAATTTTTTTAATAGATGCCGTTAGTGTTATTAAAAATGAAAATATTTAAAATTATAATAAGAGTTTACAACTATCATCGTAAATTAAATACATAAAAAATTAAAACTAGTTACTTTAGATAGTATAAGGACCATACGTGAAAAAATTAAAAGCCCAATCAGAAGACTCGAATGAAAAAGATACGAACAAATTTGACTGTATTGACAAATAAACTACAAAAGAGGATTGAGCTATTGAAAGACCAATGAGAACTGCAAATCAGATCCGAGCGTTATGAGAAATTATCTACGAACGTAAAATCACGTATCCAAATTCAATTTGAGGGTCAATAGCAAGGAAGATCAATAGGATTACTAATAAGTGTCATCTTTGATCAGTCATGACGTTGTCAAATTCAATCATGAGAAAACAAAAAAATAAAAAAGCTCAAACAATCGAAAAAGATGAAAAGCGTACAACAAAGACAGAGAAAAACGTGTCACAAACGCAGAGGAAAAACGTGCCACAAAGACAAAATTATTTTAATAAAAAATTAAAAAATAAAGAAAAAGATAACCAACGATCGATAATCAGCATCAAAACTGTGTTTTCGCCGGTTAAACAAAATCAAAGAAAAAAAATTATATGATCTATAGAAAATGACACAAATTTTAAGAATAAAATGAGAGAGTAACTAGGGTTGAAAAAAATAACCATCCTCAAATTAAGTCTTGTGATAAAAGCATTATGATCATGTGGAGAATAATAATAATATTTAATATATTATACGCCATAAAATATTAAAAGATTAAATTACCTTCACATAATATCATAGATAAGAGAACATGTTATGTAATGAAATGATGAGAGAGGCACGAATCAATTTACTTTAATGGTTAAAGGAATTGTTGTTGTTCCTAGAGATTATGGGTTTGAGTACCAACGACTGTTGCAAGGTTATTGAACGTTCATTATCAAATAGTTGAGAGTATTTAGAACATATATATTGAAGATATCCTATTTTGCTAATTAATTGTTCCAATGGTATCATTGATTACAATTTGTTTAATACAATCAGATTTATCATGAAAAATCATGGATTATTTATCGACAAAGCCGCTTGTGCCAACGTATGCGCTGTCATATTTGCCTCGCAGTTGGTATAGTGAACTTTAATTCTTTGGTTAGCCCAAATGATGTTTTGTTCTTCGTTGAGCATCAATCCGATTGAACAATTATCTTCCTTATAATTCGTGATTCCATTGATAATAGAGATAGCGTACAATGATCGTGTTTTGTCATCGTTTTCAATAGCAAACTTTATGCATTGGATAAACGCTTGTGCCTCTGTAGATTCTGCATTGAAAGGAAGTTCGATTTGTTTTCTCATGCCTTCAAGGACAAGTCCGTTATGGTCCCTTGCCACCACCCGTATAGCTGCCGTGTTGGATCCGGCTTGAAAGGCCGCATTCATGTTAACCTTAATCGTGTTTGGCGTGGGTTTAACCCACCAATGTATTCTTCTTGTGTTATCGTAAGGCCTGGGTTCATGAAGGAAGAATTGGCCAATTCGAACTCAGAGCATCTTGTGAAGATGGCCTTGTTAATTTGGGCAAAAGATCATTGTAAAATAGAAAGATGGGAACTTAATTTATTTCCAATAGACAAGAACACTCTAAAAGAAAATCCAGCCCAAATTCCATAATCGTGGCCTATATAGTCTGATTTTGTGAAGATTGCCTTGTTAATCTGGTCGGACCCTATCTCCTGACAACCAAAATAAAATTCTCAGTTGTACTTTTAAAACGTTAATCCGCAATCATGGCTCCTGCAAAACTCAAATATTAACTAAACAACTTGTATAAGCACCAATTCACCGACACGATCTACCCAAAGAAAAAAAAATGGCGGCCAATTTCTGGACTTCTTCTCACTTGTAACTACCACATACCAAACTTCTTTCACTGATTTTGCAATCCATCGCATGGGTTTAGATTGCTTCAATATTTGCGTTTTTACGCCTTCTTCTTCTTATTATTTCATTTGATTTTGTTTTTGCAGTAAACAGCTTTTGGACCCGGAAGAGGTGGATGTTGTACCTCAGCAAGATAAAGATAAAGGCATCACTCTTGAAGAATTTAAGCTCATTAAGATCCATATGGCGAATTGTATGTTCTCTTTCTCTCTTACCCTTTTTTGTTTTTGTAAATTTTGGATTTTTCATTGTGAATCTTATAATCTGGGTATTTGTTATTTATTGGTAATATCGGATTTTTTTGGCTTAAAAAGTTGAGTTTGGTTTTGGGGTTTTCTTCATCTTTTGAATCTTCAACCTGCAAGTTACAATCTATGGGAGTTTGTAACTTTTGCATCTTGGGTATTCAAAATCACGAGCATTTAATCATCTTAAATTCTCGTATTGTCATGAAAATGAGATTTTTTGGATTTGTTTGCTTCAAATTGTCGCCAGGGGATTGTTTCATGAATAAGAGGGTCCTTCAGTTTTTAATATTAGATTTAATGTTTGCTTCTAGCATGGCTGTCAAACAAGTTCGTCAAAAGAAGAAAATTTGTAATTCCATAATTTCTTTTCTGAAATTTACTTTGAGGCCTCTCGGGGCTTATTTTTGTAGTTAGAGACATAATTTAAAAGGAAACCAGTAGTGTTTTGGAATGCATTTGCATGCAGACATGTGCCTAGCTTAATTTGATTGAACAAACCTAATAGCTTTGTTCTATATTACTTCCGGATTAAAGATTGTGATTTTTTGCCTTTTTCCCCCTTCCCTAGATATAATGAAACTGGCTCAACATGTTAAAGTGAGGCAAAGGTTTGATCTTCTCTCTCTCTTTTTTTAAAAGAAACGCCATTCTGTTTATTTAATGATTTCAGTGATGTCATCAAATTTTTTATCTGTACATTTCCTTTCAAAATTGTGTATGCTCCTGTGGTTTTTTCATGCTAACAGTAACAATGTTTAATTATAGCAACTTTTGGTGAACATGGACTAGTTTGACTGCTGATGTGACTAATATCTCTGTTTCATTCGGCTGATATAGTATGTTTATTCCTGCCTCATAGTGATACCCTATAATGAACTTGACTATCTAAGGGTGGATCATCTATTTTCAATTACTTACTGTTATTCTGCTGGGAAGCTTAAAAAATGGGGAAACAGAGGCTCCTCATTATGTGCCATGTATATCTGTTTGAATGTTGTTGTTGATTTTAGCTGAAAACTGATTATCACATGCTCATGCATGGACACTCATCCGGAGACCTCTTATATTAGTTAATCCAATTATTAGTCCATGTATAGGCATTTTGTTTGCTATAACTGTCATCCTAACACAATAGCTTCAGAAATAGTTGGTTACAAATTGTGTGGAAAATTGTAGCAAGTAGTCACCCGAAGTGTGTTAACTGCAAGGTGTTCTTAAGATTTGTATCCTTTATATGATAATATGCGTAAACAGAGTTAATTTCTTTTGTTTGTGAGGCAATTGTTTCCTGAAAAAGCATTGCATCTAGCTGGTTTCTTTGCTCAATGAACCGATTATAAATCGCCATCATCACGAGCATGATGCACAAAAATTACTTTGCTGGTTCAGTTTTCACATTGCTATAAGCCTTAAGTCATGGTTGATATTTCAGGGTTGTGGCAACTGCAGTTACATATATGAGACGTGTCTACACCAGGTATTTTTCCTAGTTTAGTTGTCTTGTACTTTCATTGATTTTATTTTTTACTCGAACTATGAATTTATTTCAATTTCTCAAGACTTAGTGATTCCTACTTTATGCAGTTTTCTCTATATCTTTCCATCCTCGAGGCTAAATGATCTGCTACTTATTATAAGCCATTCTTCATAGTCACATCTTGATAATTAATTTTCCCATGTAAATTTACACTTGTAATTATTTTTCCTACCCTGCAACCATGAATTATTAGATGGGAGAGATGCATTGAATGTAAATATGTAGAAGCTTTGGTTTTCCTCCATACAATGGGTTATGAACAACTGCTCATGGTTTCTAATCTGTCTTACAGAAAGAGCATGACTGAATATGATCCACGCCTTGTTGCTCCTAGTTGCTTATATTTGGCATCCAAGGCAGAAGAAAGCACAGTGCAGGCTAAACTTCTTGTATTTTACATTAAAAAATTATGTAATTACTTGTACCTAAGCTGGTTGGTTATCCTTTAAATTTCTTGATTTTTGTTTGTTTACCGCAATTTCTGCCATATTTGCTTTGTAGCTGCTGATGAAAAGTATAGATGTGAAATCAAAGACATACTTGAAATGGAAATGAAGATCTTAGAAGCACTTAACTATTATTTAGTTGTATTTCATCCTTACCGCACATTGTCCCCGTAAGTTTTTATCTTCTTTCCCATAATTTTTATTTGTATTTAATTTGCTGGACTTTTCTTGTGCATGGTTACCAATTTATTGTTGGAATAGGAAAGAAATAAATGGTGGAATAATGAAACCGTAAATTTTGCCTTAATAAGTCAGATCACTGTTGAGATCCAAACCTGTAAGGTCATTCTATCTATTATTTTGTCATGCTCTATGTCTAGTGCATGTCTTATTTTTCCCATTTTTTGCCATTGCACTTCTAAATCTTTCACATTTCCCTAGTGACATGATTGTGTCAATTATTTGATATTGATGCATTTTTTTCTTCATATAATTAGGTTCGCATTTAGTAATTACTTGTTTTTATATTGTAGAGATGCACATTTATGATATACTCCCTATTAAACATTTTTAATGAACGTAAACTGAATGCAGCCTTATCTGATAATCTAAAGTTGATCTGCGACTTTAAGACGACACGTCTTTCCCAATACCAAATACATTGGAACTAAGCTACTTTAGATTATTTCAATATCGTGCTTTCTGCTAATTATTATTGGGATTTTTTTTCCACCTGTGAATGTATCTTGTGCCTGTTACCTTGGCAGGTTGTTGCAGGATGCTGGCATGAATGATACAAATATGACTCAGATATCTTGGTAAGTATCAAAACTCCATCATCTGTACGTTTTGAAGTTAAAATATTTAATGCGTGTCTGAAAAATGCCTAAAAAAGTCCGAGTTTTTCCCACAAGTCTTAAACTTGAAAAGGAGCTGCCGAAAATATTGTCTTTGGCTTTGCCGACTATGTGTGGACGATGTTGCCTTTAACCCGACCTATGGAATTAAATAGGATCATATTTGTGCTATAGTCCATGTAGGTTATCTTGTGGTGACTATTCAGCAGTATTTATTGAGAAACTGAGAATGGTAGTTGGTTGAGATAGAAGTTTGAATAGTTGTAGTTGTGAAAACTCGTTTATTTTGAATATTTGTAGCTAGCTTTCCATTCCATAGCTACCACACTCGAGACTTGATGACTTTCGACACAACACAATTACGCAACACAAATATACTACATGAAAAAAATAACTAAAACACAAAAAAAAAATAAAAAATAATACGAACACGACATGAACAGATGAACATGTCAAAAATCTAAATTAATCATTGGTCTAAATTTGTCTTTTGGATTTCTCTTTTCTTCTTTTCTAAAGTTCTAGTTAACTGAATAAATATACTACACTTGGAATTTTGAAACACAGGGGACTTCTAAACGATACATACAAGATGGACCTTATTCTCACACATCCACCGTATTTGATTGCCTTAGCTTGTATATATATTGCTAGTGCATACAGAGAGAAAGATATCACCACTTGGTTCGAAGAACTTCGCATTGATATGAATGTGGTGAGTTTTCTAAAGCTAAATCTGATCTGATAGAGAAGCGGCATGCATTTTCATTGTTATGGACTCTGGTGCATGTATCACGATCTCGAGCATTTTGGTTTCTTTAGAGACATAAAAACTCGCGTCTTAACTAAAATCCATATGTAATACCAGAAGTGGCTGCCTTTTGGAAATTTACTTTTCCATTTTCTGGCGAGGCACTTTTTTACCACCTATATTTACTTATCACCTTCTATCGATCGGCGCTCTGAAGTCTAATTCTCTGCAATTTCCTCCCATCATATCACAGTTGCAATTACACTTTCACAAATGTTCTTTATTTTTTTATCATTTAAAATTTTATCGAGACTGGCAGGTAAAAAACATCTCCATGGAGATTCTAGACTTCTACGAGAGCAAAATGATTGCAGATGAGCGACTTAGTGCTGCTTTCATCAAACTTGATCGGAAGCCTTAGATGGTGGATTGAAGCCGGAACCCGAGAATACTGGCATCCGCAGCTGCGCGTCTCGATATTATTTTCTCGTCGGCTAAACGCAACGAAACAGGTAATCAGAAGATTAGCCTATTGGTATGATATGCTAAAGCGGTGCATTTAAGAAAACTAAACGCCTAGTGACAATAGTATATTTCATGTATTTCTTAAAGTTAAGTGATTTATAAGGAATAGACCACGAACTATGCATAAATTGATTGACCTACAGCGCATTGAAAAGGGGTCTGCAAATTTTTGCAAGCCATGCTCAAGCTGAGTTTCTTAAATGTATTTAATGCATGTACTGTTTTGATAGATTGTGACCTATTATTACGAGATTCTAAATTAAATGCATGTACTTGTTTAGATTTATCTACTTCAAGTGATATAGTAGAGTAGATGTGTACCACTGAGCTTCGTAGAACTTGACGTTCGAAATTATTTGTTGTTTTTCGTATGGAGGAAAGTAGGCTTTTGAGTTTGGGTTGGGCGATAGCATCGTTGAGGAGTTTTTAGTACATCTAAATCAGAGTACAACACCTGAATTTCCTTTAACAAGCATTCGTAATCTAGGACCCTTACTAAAAGTTGGTCTATTAACTTTATTGATATATTTTATTTTATACTTTGATTTATCAAATGGAACTCCGGTTTATATTAACTTATTGGCTTAATGCAAAAATAAATGTTTAAACTATATCATTTATTAATTTTAGGTGTCAAAGAATTTTTGCTCAAAGTATGTGTTTAAGGTTTTCGATGTTACACTTTTAAGTGGTTGATTTGTCACAATCGTTGAAAAATCATTATATGACATGTATTATGCTTATAAATTCTTAAAATTTTACTTTTTAAATAAAAAATTATAATTTATTTATAAAAACCCCAAAAATTTCTAAGATCTAAAAAAATCTAAGACTCTAAAAATCCAACCTCTTCTTCCACGTCGATCATCATTGATGTTCCTCTCGTTGTCACCCTTTGCCGTAAATCACTTTGTCTAACCAAAATTTAATGCACGACGGGAGGAATCGTCATTAGAATCGTTGGAATCATCTAATTGGAGTCATCGCTCTTTAATCTATTTTTTGTTGCAATAGTTGCTTGAAGCATGGGAGTTTGATTGGTGGGTGTTCGGGTGGTCACTCGTCATTGGAGTTTCGATCAATTGACAACCGCGGTTGGTGGTAAAAGAATTAAAATTAGGGTTTTTTTATATAAAAAAAATAGGTTAAAAAAACATTAATTTTAATTTTTTAAATAAAATAAAACTTTATAAGCATGACATATGTTAGATAACAAAATTATTTAGTGGTTTTTATGACGCAGGCACTCGAAAGAATAACGTTGAAAACATTTCGTATCTATTTTGAGTGAAAAATTGTTTAGACACTTAAAATTAATTTGGTTCGTTTTAATTTATAGCATTTTATAATATTTTATAAGTTTTTCGACTGGTCAAAATTGAAAAAAAAAGAATTAAGTATTAATTCACTGCTCGTATTGGTGATCTAATATGACATTTTCAAATTTATCGATCAATGGAATTGGGTTCAAAATGTTACACCATAAATTAAAATGGTGCTTTTAAGAAAAACACTTGCAAGGGTTATGATAGTAAATACATAATAAATTAATAATATTGACAGAACTTGATGATAGAATGAAATAGGGTTAACTTAAAACTTTAAAAAATTTAGAGATTTTAATTAAAATTTTCAATTTTTTTTGAAGAGTTTGATTTATGTTTTTTTCTAATATGACATTTTCAAATTTATCGATCAATGGAATTGGGTTCAAAATGTTACACCATAAATTAAAATGGTGCTTGATTTTGCTACTGCACACGATATGGTGGTCACTAACTCCTGCTTTAACAAGAGAGATGTGAACTTGATTACGTTCCATAGCGGGGGACATTGTACCCAAATCGACTACATCATGGTTCGAAATCGGGATTGATGGGCTTGCATTGACTGTAAGGTGTTCTCTGAAGAGGCATGTGCATCACAACAAATATTGTTGGTTTTGGTGTTCCACGTTCGCCACGAGCGGAGCACTCATAAGAGGGCTAAACTTGGTAAATCTAGGATCCTTTGGAAGAACTTACATGAGCTGATGACTTTAGGAGTAAGGTTATATCTAATACATGTTTGGAAACTACAAACTCAAATAATGCAGATATGTTATGGAAAAATATGGCACATTCCATCAAAGAGGTGGGCAAAAACACTCTTGGGTTGTCGACATGGAAGGTCAAGGAGCATAAAGAATCGTGGTGGTGGAACGACGAAGTCCAAACTAAGGTGAAGACAAAGCAAACTTGCTTCAAGGAGTATCTAAAATGCAATGACGACGAAGAAAGATCGAGAGCTAAACAAAGATACAAGGAGGCGAAGTGGGAAGCCAAGAAAACGGTGGCTAAAGCAAAGGATAAGGCATACGAGGAAATGTACAAGAGATTAGACACCAAGGAAGGACAAAACGACATCTTCAAGCTAGCAAAATCTAGGGAGAATAGGAAAAAGGATCTAGGTAGCATTAGGTTTATTAAGGACAACAATGGTGTTCTTTTAGTGAAATAACATGATATTAAGAGGGTTTGGGGTAGTTACTTTTTTGGTTTATTTAATGACGGTGCATTTCCCTGTAGAGATAGTACCATTGATGGGTCAGTCGACCATCTTACTATGACCAATGAATGCCCTACAACTAGGATTGGTTTTGAGGAAGTCAAAATGGCTCTTAGAAAGATGGGGAGGGACAAAGCTGTCGGTCCATATCAAATTCCTATCACTGTGTGGTTGGCCCTAGGAGAAGAGGGAGTTAAGTGGTTGACCAATATCTTTAATATTATTTTAGAGACTGCCAAGATGCCAGATGAGTGGAGAGAGTCTACGGTGATACCAATCTACAAGAATAAAGGAGATCCCCAACATTGTGACAACTACAGAGGTATTAAACTACTCAGCCATACCATGAAGCTATTGGAAAGGGTGATAGAGGCTAGGTTGAGACAGGTTACTAGGGTTTCGAAAAACCAATTTGGCTTTATGCCAGACAGGTCTACTACGGAGGCGATTCATATACTTTGACGGCTTATAGAGAAATATAGGGAAAAAATAGAGATCTTCACATGGCGTTCATTGACCTTGAGAAGGCATATGATAGCGTTCCTCGTGATACAATCTGGAAGACCTTGGAAACGAGACGGATCACAACTGCTTATATCCGGGCGATTCGTGATATGTACTATAGATCTACTACATACGTCAGGACTACAGTTGGAGACACCAAGACATTCCCGGTGGAAATCGGACTCCACCAGGGGTTGACTCTTAGCCCTTACATCTTCGCCTTGATTATGGACAACATCTATTGTGCGACTCCAGATGGTGTTCCATGGTGTATTCTTTTCGCTGACGACATTGTCCTAGTTGCTGAAACAAGAACTGAGCTAAATAGTAGACTGACTACTTGGAAGACTGCTTTGGAAGAAAAAGGTCTAAGGATCAATATTGCAAAGACAGAGTATTTATGTTCAAACTTCAGTGAGAACTAAAACGATGAAGATGTAGAGGTATGCATAGAAGGACACGTTCTCCCCTTAACGGATTGTTTCAAGTACCTAGGGTCTATGATACATAAAGATGAGGGTGTGGATGATGACGTTACACGCCGTATAAAGGCGTTATGGCTAAAGTGGAGGGCTGCTACTGGAGTTTTGTGTGACAAGAAAGTGCCTCTAAAACTTAAGGGAAAATTTTATAGAATGACAATAAGACCAGCGCTGCTGTATGTATCAGAATGTTAGGCAATCAAGAAGGATCACGTAAGGAGGATGGAGGCCGCAGAAATGAGAATGCTTCGATGGGCATGTGGTAGGACTTTGTGGGACATGACACCAAACTCTACTATTAGGATGTCATTGGGGGGTGCCTATATCGGAAAAATTGAGGGAGGGAAGACTACGGTGGTTTGGGCATGTCCTTAGGCGACAACCGTCGGATGCGGTCAGAAGGGTAGAGTCGATTACAGTCGACGGTGCCAGAAGGAGAGGACGACCAAGGCGGAAGTGGGAAGACTGCTTGAGATATGATTTGAAGGATTTAGCCCTTACCGAGGACATGACCTCTGATAGGAAAGTATGGAGACTTAAGACCAGGGTAGCCGAGTAGTGCGGGTCACATCCATAGGGTGAATAATCTCTGTCTTCTTTTAATGCCTTTGTAGAAATTTTCATGACTTCTACTTTTTATACGTTTCTATCATTGGAATTTTTGAAGGCTTAGAACTAGGGTAGCGGAGAAGTGTTGCCTTAGTTTAGGTTTTAACCCATTCGACTTTATTTCTTCTCCTTGCTTGCTTTCGTTGACTTCTGTGTATCATTCACTTCATGTTTTCTCTTTTTAATTTTAGTCGGGTCTTACGTTTCTGTCTATATGCAGAGCTTTTTACATATAGATTTATTTGCAGGGATTACATCCCATTACAAATGCGCATATGAAGACTGTTTCAACTATGTATTTATTTATTTATTTATACATGCATTGCATTTTATCTTTATTTTTAATTTTCTGACTGCCGGAGGTCTTCCACGGAAGTTGCTCTCAACCTGGCGTTGGGACAGCCTACTACCCTACCTTCCCCTTGCCCCATTGTATATGGGAATAGGGTTTTGTTGTTGTTTGTGGGGGCCAAATAAAATTTTTAAAAATTTTAAGAGCCTAAATTATAAATATTTCAAAACATAGCCTTCTTGTGTTCCACCTCTGCTAATTACGGAACTGCATTTCATGTATTTCTTAAAGTTCAATGATGCATAAGTAATAAGCCTAACTTCTGTATAAATTGATTGATCCACAGAACATTGAAACAGGCTCTGCAAATTATTGCAAGACTCAAATATCAATTGTTGAATGGAAGTTTCTTAAATAGTGATTAAAAATGATAAAGTACACATAAAATAAAATATTTAGTTAATCAAAACGTGTTTAATTTGATTAAAATCGAATACGCAAAACCGCCTGAAATGCGAGGTTAGATCTCTAATTTTGTTTTATCTTCGCATATTTGTTTGTTACGTTCACGAAGACAGTAACAGAGAAGACACAATATCCAACCTGCCTCAACAAAATATTATTTTTCTATAGTAAATGTTAATTTTATTATTTAAAAATTTGGAAAAATAATATTTTAGGTAGCATCCAATATTAATATTTTCGGTAAAAAAAT